GAATGCCGAAAGCCCGCTTCGGGCCGGTGGCGACAATCCCAAATTTTGATAATTCAACTGACCAAGCGATCATGCACCCGACGAGCTCTGGTTTCCTGAGGATTTGTTGAACGAGGTAGTCTGCTTTAACCACAACTTGGTGGCTTTGGAAGTAAGGGTGGAGTTGCTGAGCAGCGATGACAAGTGCTAGAGCTAGTTTTTCTGGTTTGGTACCTTTTTTCAATGTCTTGGAGGACACGGCTGGTGAAGTATATTGGGTTTTGCTTCTTATCATCTTCCTGGACGAGGGTCGCGCTGATTGTGTGTTCAGCCACTACAAGATATAAGAGCAGATCGTGTTGTTTATCTGGTCGGGTTAGGATGGGAAGTGCGGCGAGGAAGCTCTTGAAGCCTGAGAAGGCTTCCTCGCACTGCTCGGTCCAGGTGAACTCCTTGGGCTTGCGTAGAAAATTAAAGATTGGCTTTGCACGCTTGACTAGCTTTGGTATGAAACGAGAGAGGAAGGCTAGGCGACCTGCCAGTCTTTGTGCTTCCTTCAACGTTTGAGGGCTTTGTATTTGTATGATGGCCTCGCACGTCTCGGGATTCGCCTCGATCTCCCTATTTGTGATCATGAACCCGAGGAACTTACCTCTTTGGACGCTGAAGACGCACTTCTCGGGATTTAAGCGCATGTTGTGTTTTCGGATTTAGTCAAAGACTTCATCTAAATCTGTCACGTGTGACTCGGCCAATGTGGTTTTCACGACCATGTCATCCATGTAGACTTCCATATTTTTACCGATCTGCTGATGGAAGACTTTGTCTATTATCCTTTGGTAAGTGGCTCCGGCGTTTTTCAGGCCGAAAGGCATGACGTGGTAGCAAAAATTAGCTTGGTCGGTAATGAAGGCGGTATTTTCCTTACTCGATGGATGCATCATGATTTGGTTGAAGCTAGAGTATTCGTCTAGGAAGCTGAGGAGGGCCTGTCTAGAAGCTCGATCTACCAACCTGTTAATGCTTGGAAAGAGGTATGCGTCCTTTCGGCAAGCTTTTTTCAGGTTGGTGTAGTCTACGCACATGAGCCATTTTCTGGAATTTTTCTTGACAAGCACTACGTTTGCTAGCCACGTGGTGTACATTACTTCGTGGATGAAGCCTACGTTCAGCAACTTCTGTGTTTCAAGTGCGATGGCGTCACGCCGTTCGCCGTCGACCTTCTGTTTCCTTTGGGCTACAGGTTTGGCTTCGGGGTGGATTTCCAACCTATGACAGATAAAATTGGGATTTATACCTGGCATATCAGCACTTGACAAAGCAAATAGGTCGACATTTTTCAAGACTTCGACCATGATTTGTTGTTGCAATTCATGGTTGAGTTGTTGGCTGATCTTGGTGCATTGCCCTGGGAGGTGTCTGATTTGGAAGTCCATTAGATCGTCAATTAGACTAGGGCAACTGTCATCAGCTTTCGGCCTCGGTTCGAGGTTAGGTATTTCATCTAGGGCTACATGGGCTATGGTTGGGGGCCTGGCTTGACGTTCGGGTGGGGGCGACGTCTTCAAGCTCTCTACGTAACATTGCCGAGTTGTCTTCTGGTTGGCCTTGATGGAGATTATGTGGTCGTCGCTTCTTGGGAACTTCATCGTCAGATGCGGGGTGGACACTAGTGCTTTGAGTTGGTTGAGTGTCGACCGTCCTATTATGATGCTAGCGTCGACGAGGAGGTATTTAACCATTACTCATTTGGAATTGGGGGTTGCCTCGAAGGTGGTTAGTAGCTTGATGTAGCCGTGGGTGTGGACTCGTTCCCCTGCAAAACCAACCAAGGGGTCCGAATATGGTTGGATAAGAGTATGAGGGATATCTAACTTGAGGAACGTTGGCCAATACAAGATATTTGCCTGGTTGCCTTAATCGATTAGTGTCTTGTGCATTTCCCAGTTAGCCACCTCGACAGCGATGACCATGGGGTCATCCTGATTCAGACAGATTCCTTCGTAATCGTCATCGGTAAAAGTTATAGGTGGTGAGGAGAGTGGTGGTCATGAGGCATCAACGTGGACGTTGTTGATGCTGCGTAGGTGTCGCTTTCAGGTAGAGCTACCTGTCCCTCTTTGGCAAATCTTCCAACTATTATGTTTATGACGCCCCGCAAAGGGGCTTGCCCACTCTCTTGTTCCGCTTCGGGTTGTTCGGTGTTGCCCATGTTCTGGCGGGATCCTAATGACTGGTCTGTACAGAAGGTTGAGCCGCGGCCGCGTCCACGTCCTCTACCAAGGTCGTGGTGGCCACCCTTGTGAGATTGTGATCTCTGGACGAATTGTCCGAGGTGTCCTCCTTGGACGAGTTCTTCGATTTGGTCTCTCATCATTCGACACTCTTTAGTGGTGTGGTCGTAGTTCTTGTGGTAGTAGCAGTGCTTTGCTTTGTCAGCATGGTTGGGGCTATGCCTTGGTGGTGGTAAGGTGATCAGGTCATTGTTACTAGCTTCTTCCAGAATATGCACCCGAGGTCCATTCAGCGGGGTGTATAAGTCATACTTTCTGACCTTAGCCTGCCGAGGTCTTTTGAATTGAGTCTCATTTGTCAGTTTTAGCCTATCTTTATGGCCTTAAGCAACGTGATCAGGCTTCCCTGGTGACTTTTTGCGAACTTGCTTGCAGAATTCAGCGTGTTCTTCCATCTGGATATACCCCGCGGCTCGGGCACGGAGTTCGTCCATATTTGTGGGAGGTCGTCGGTAGAGGCTATCAATGAAAGGGCCAAGCTTTAATGCCATAAGCATGGAATGCAGGGCGACTTTTGGATTGAGAGTGCAGATCTGGATGTAGACGTTGGCAAAAAGCTCCATGAATTTCCTTAGTTTTTCATTTTTGCCCTGTCTAAGATTGGCAAAGGCGGCAGAAGTAATGTGGTGAGGTCTGCTTGTGGTGTATTGCGATGTGAATTTTTTGATGATCGTCTCGAAATTGTCGATTGACCCTGCTGGCAACTGAGTGTACCAGGTGAGTGTTGGGCCTTTCAACGAGGTTGGGAAAACTCAACACATGATGGCATCGTCATTGGTGTACAGATTCATCTGTCTGACGTACGCATCGACGTGCTCATTTGGATCGGCAGAGCCGTCGTACTGGTCAATGTTTAAGGGCTTCCAACCTAGGGGGAGGGGTGTCTCCATGATGCCATCTACAAAAGGGTGGCATTTGACACGTAGCCAATGTGTGATGGCTTATGTGGGTGCGTGGATGACCTCATGGCTTGAGCAATGTGTGGGCACTGGTGACCGATGTGTCATCGACGACGGTGAAGGTGACTAGTGCACTTCCTTGTGGTGGTTGCTTTGATGGGTAGGTTCGTCGCGGTGGGGTTGCTGGGGAAGTTGGGCACGGATGCACTCATTTTCTGCACGCAAGGCAACCAGATCGGCTTGATGTTGGGTGCGCATGGTATCAAGGGCCTCTGTGTTTTGTCGTCGCATTTGTTCGATCTGTTCGATCAATCGTCAAAGCATGGCTTCTCCTTCCATTCTTGATCCGTTGTGGTTTGCGTCATCTGTTACTCTCTTGTTCTGGCTTCGGGTAGAAACCATAAGGTAGTCAAAGAAATGGAATTTCTATTCGGCCCCACAATGGGCACCAAATGTTCTCACTTGAGATCGGTGTAGGGGAGATCTCCTAATGAGATTGGTGGGCCTCTCCTGCTTGGTACGTCGATCACTCCGAAATAGGGGAGGTACCTGCAAAAGAGACTCCGAAGCTTAAGTTAGTTCTTGTAGGTGTGTGAGTCTTGTATATGTATAATGCACGTACCTTTGTATGAATTAGGATTTTTCCCTTTAGGCGAGAGTAGGGTTGATAACGACCCAAAATTGGTTAGGCCCAATTGGTCATGGGCTCGCGCACATGACTGATGTTATTGTGTGATTGGGGCCGACCTGGAGCTCGGTATCCAATGTGTGGGTACAATTATGATGTATGAATGAATGAAATATGTTATTACTATTACTAATATGCTATGTTACTTATATGTATTGTTTGTGTTTGGTTATCTGGTTGCATTCTTGCACCGTGAGCTAGAGCGAGATATTTCTCACTCCCTTTACTTTGTATTGTTTTCTTTTGGTTGTTATACAAGTGATCATTAGTGTGAGGTTCATTATGTTGGTGATAAGGCCTAATCTTCAATGATGGATTGTACCCTGATAGGATGTGACATCGGAATGTAGTTAGGCTTAGTTAGGATGTTGCTTTTATTGATTTATTTTGAAGACATTAGCTTTATTTTCTTGTAATTTTAGTTTGGTTATGTTAGTTTGTTTAAGTTAAGAATTTGATGTTTTCTACTTGAACATGTATAGATTTTATTTATGAAGATTATGTTATTCAATTTTTTATTATTATACGTTACGGTATGTAGGGTAGAAAGTGTTACAATTGATAATTTATTTTAAGAATATTGTTCATAAATAAATATGATAAATAAAAAATTTAAATTAGATATGAAGTTAAAAAATTTCTTAAATTGGTCCTACTAAAAAAATACTCCTAAAAACACTTTTACATAAAATAGGTGTTCATGCTTAATATAAAAGATTGATAGTATAATAATATAATAAAATATATAAATTAAATTAAAAATCATATCATTCGTTAATATTAATAATACAATAAATGTTTCATAATGAAAATATAAACAACAATAATAATAATATAACAATTAAAGTATCATTTTACAATATTCACTACAAGAAAACACTGAAATAGTTGCGAAAAATAAGTGTTGGTTAATAGCTGACACAAATACTATCGGAAAAGCTGATGCTTTTGCCCAACCCACCCGAGGGATGGTTTAAGCTCTTATGAGCTAATTTTTTGTGGGTTTTCCCTTTGTTTACCATCCTTGTTTAAATTTGCTCTAGATATGGCCTTTCTCGTCACTTATCCAACCTGTTTACCCCTTGTTCATCACCCTTGTCCAAAATTGCACCAGATATGACCTACCACGTCATTTGTCCAACCCATTTTCCCTTTTTTCATACACCGAACCTAGCTTACTTTTTTTATTTCCCAACCCACCTGAGGGAGACGGCTTAAGCTTTTATGAGCTATAATTTTTGTTGGTCGATTAAGATAGCAGGATGGTGGTCATAGAAGTTGAAATCTGCTAAGGAGTGTGTAACAACTAACCTACCGAATCAACTAGCCCTGAAAATGGATGGCGCTAAAGCACATGACCTATACCCATCCATCAAGGCAAGAGCCAACACTAAACTTAATTTAAATTAGTGTCGAAAAAGCCAACACTATATCTAAAGAAATAGCGTCGGCTTTTCTGACACTAATTTAAATTAATTTAGTATCAGAAAAGCTAACGCTATATTTAAAGAATAGCGTCGGCTCTCCCGACACTAAACTTAATTTAAATTTAGTGTCAAAAAACTGACGTTACATCTTAAAATAACGTCCACTTTTTCGATAGTATACGTGCTTTGAGAGAGATAAAGATAATTTTTTCAATATTATATACGCATAATGTGTTGTGGTGCACATGGTTATCAATAGGGATGGCAAATATACCCGTACCCGCAGGTAATACCCGAACCCGTCCTGACTTTGACGGGGAATACCCGGTTTGACCGGGTACAGGTACGGGTACAGGTAAAACCCGATATATTAAATCGGGTACGGGTATGGGTACGGGTATGTACTTACCCGCCCCATACCCGTACCTGTACCCGTTCTCATTTTTAATTTAATACTCACTTTAATTTAATTATATTAAATAATTTTAGTATTTTTTTATGTTTGATTATTTATTATAATATAAGATAGAGAAATAACCTAATTATAATTATAATATAATTAAAAAAATAATTTAAAAATATTATATTTTAAAAAAAAAGTAAAAAATAAAAAATTTGACGGGTACTGGTACGGGTACGAGTACGGGTATACCCGATACCCGACGGGGACGGGGATGGGGATTAAAATTACATACTCGACGGGTACGGGTACAGGGACGGGGATGAGTTTGGCTCAGAGACCCCGTCCCCGCCCCGCCCCGTTGCCATCCCTAGTTATCAAGTTCACTTACGATCTCGAGATTCACAGATCGAGTCCCGAGAATGCTAAAAATATAAACGAATAAATGATAAGCTGAAAAAATGAGATAAAAATAAAATAAAAAATTTTGTATACAGCTGAGCCAATACAAAAAAATTTATGTCAACTTATTTAACGTCAGTTAAAAATCAACGAACAATCGACGATATTATGTTGGTTTTTATGATTTAGAGTGAGTCAAAAGCCGACTCTAAACTAAAACATTTTTTTAGTGATTATTATATTTTTATATTTTGATATATTATTATTATTATCTTATAATTTTAAATAAATTCAATAATAAAATATTATAATATTTTTCTATTCGTTTTTACATAGAAGTCAGCTATTATGTGGTGTTTAATTAGTTTGATTATGCGTGTCCACTACATATCAATTTTTATCTTTATCTTTTTTCGTTGGTTTGAATAGGAAAACTTTTTTTTTTCTCTAAAAAATAAATCAACGTTTTTAATATCTCATTTATGAAAATGTATCATAATTAGTCATTCTTTATAATAAATCTATTTCTTTTTGTCTCATTTATGAAAATTAAAACGTGTAAAATATTTTGGAAATAAAAAATTAAATGAAGAATTTATTTTTAACAGACTAAATATTAACATTATTCTGTTAAACGGGCACTAATTAAAATCATTTCTAGCCTTATAAATGAAGCAATAACAAGAAGAAGAATCATTTCTAGGTCCATGGAAGCTACCTATAATAGGAAACATGCTCCATCTTGTTACATCTAAACCACACAGAAAATTAAGAGACTTAGCCAAAATATATGGTCCCTTGATGCATTTGCAACTTGGGGAGGTCTTCACAATCATTGTTTCCTCACCAGAGTATGCTAAGGAGATAATGAAAACCCATGATGTCATTTTTGCAACAAGGCCAAAACTTGTAGTATCAGATATAGTAGCCTATGAATCCACAGACATTATTTTTTCACCTTATGGCAGCTATTGGAGACAACTACGAAAAATATGCACAATGGAGCTTTTCACCCAAAAATGTGTCGATTCGTTCAAGCCAATAAGAGAAGAGGAGTTCACAAATCTCATCAAAATTATTGATTCACATAAAGGATCTCCCTTCAACCTCTCTGAAGCAGTAACTTTATCAATATATAATATCGTTTCAAGAGTTGCTTTTGGCAAGAAATGCAAAGACCAAGAAGAATTCATATCAGCGATGAAAGAAGTATTATTAGTTGGATCAGGTTTTCACATAGGAGATTTGTTTCCTTCTGCCGAATGGCTTCAACATGGTACATGTTTGAGGCCTAAGCTTCAGAGGTTGCATCGACAAGTTGATCGAATACTGGAAGAAATCATCGATGAACACAAAGAGGCAAAGTCAAAAGTCAAAGAAGGAAAAGGTGAAGTAGAGGGAGATTTAGTACATGTTCTCCTAAAGTTCCATGATGATAATGATAGCAACAAGGATATTTGCTTAACTATTAACAATATCAAGGCCATAATACTGGTAAGCATAATAACATCTTGCAGATTGGTTAATTCTTTGTTAAGATGATCCTTTTCATTTCTACACTACTAAGATATGATGAATGTTTAATTCTTAAAATAAAATATTTCACACACGAGCCTTCAAAATTATGCAATATATATGTGGCAATATTTGTGTTGTATAATTGTATTATTGAATGTGTTCTACTTCTTCATTTATGGATTAAATTCATCTCCTTGTTCTTTTGAGGATTTGTGCTAATTTATAACTATTAACCAGAAAATCAATAGTTCATAAATTTTAACAATTTCATATTTGTTACATACACATACACACATATTCGCATGTATAATATATCTCAATATAATTAATAAGAGTAATGATTCATATTCTCTGAAATGTTAAAATATTATTATTTTACAATAAATTTATTATAAAATAATTATTTAATTTAATATTTTATAATTTAAATTAATATTTTATTTTTTCAGAATCCTTTTTGGAGGATCTATCATTTTTCAATTAATAATGGATGTAATCATATTCGCATAATTCGTAATACTCTATGGTACATGTTACGGGTACACAGTATATACTACCTCACAAAGTATACATGGTTGGTATGCTTTAGTACCTATTTAAATTTGGAAAGAAATTTTCTACAATTCATTTGATGTGATTGGTGTAATTCTGCTATTAAAATTGAATATTTTTTTTTAATATATTGATATAGATTTATGCACATTATTGAGATAAAATTCTAACTTATAAATTATAAAACAACACTAACCACATCTAATAAGGAACTATATCTAAGTATCCTTTAAATTTATAGTAGATTCTAACATATAAGTATAAATTAACTTATTATATCAGTGAATTTTTAAAAAAAAAATTAAATTTTCACCTATATAATTTTTATCAAGAAAATATATGAATAAATATAAAATAACTAACTCTTAAATTTATACAAGTAAATAAATAATTGTTTGAAACCAGCAAAACACCGTCTCCTTTAAAAACGTAGATGTTTTAATCTTCTTGAAACTATGATCATCAGTTTTGGGAGACAAGATGCTGACTTTGTGGTTTCCATTAGCCAAAGAAAAAAAAAACCATATTTCTTTGTTTTCTCTACGCATAATGAATTTTTCTTTTGTTCGCGAACAATATTTTTAACTTTCCTGGTTCGTCTCCCTCTTCATGAATTGATCGACGAATTTTGACATCCTGAATGTAAAAAGAACCACGAATTGATACATCCAGGAACCAATTCACTGTCCTCACAGCGAATTATGTGATTATGGTTGTAATTACACTCTAACTTTCAAAGTACACTCCTCAATTAGAAAAGTCAAATTAATAACTATCTCTTTGGATATCCTTGTATTTAGAGTAAGATCGTGTTTACATGAAAAATTTTAAAATTTGATAAATTTTAAAATTTGAAAATTCAAATTAATTTGAATTAAAATTTCCTTATTTATTAAATATTTTGTTTGAATAGGAGAGAAAGTGAATCAGAAAGTGAGAAAGTGAGAGAGAAAAAGATAGGAGAGTGAAAGAGAAAATAAAGAAGAAGAAGAGAGAGGTGATACATAAGAGAGAAAGTAATATTGGAAATTTTCAAATTCTTATTTTTTTATTTAGAATTTAATTTTACAATTTTATGTATTTAAAATATTTTCATATATTATTAGAATTTCAATATTCTCTAATTTCTTATTCAAAGAAAATATTTCAACACAAAACGTTTTAAATTTACAAAAAAAATAAATAATTACTTTGTAAAAATTCTTCTTCCAGACACCGTAAATTCATTGATAAATACTTTGTAGGATATCTTTGGTGCTGGTGGTGAGACATCAGGAACAACCATAAATTGGGCAATGGCAGAGATGATAAAGGATCCAAGAGTGATGAAGAAAACACAAGCTGAGATAAGACAGGTATTCAACTTGAAAGGATGTATTGATGAAATTTGTGTCAATGAACTCAAGTATTTGAAATCAGTTGTCAAAGAGACACTACGGCTACACCCACCACTTCCTTTTTTATTTCCAAGGGAATGTAGACAATCATGTGAGATTGACAGGTATGATATACCTGTCAAAAGTAAGGTAATGATCAATGCTTGGGCAATTGGAAGAGATCCAAACTGTTGGACTGAACCAGAGAGGTTTTATCCAGAGAGATTCATTGATAACTCTTTTGACTACAAGGGGAGTAACTTTGGGTACATTCCATTTGGTGCTGGAAGAAGAATATGTCCAGGTGGGAACTTTGGTATAATAAATGTTGAGTTATGCCTTGCATTCTTGTTGTATCACTTTGATTGGAAGCTTCCTGTTGGGATGAAAAGTGAAGACATTGACATGACTGAAGAATTTGGATTGACTGTTTCAAGAAAAGATGAACTATACTTGATTCCTATCACTTCTATTCCTTTCCATGCAATATAAATAATTCAAGAAAAGTCTATAACCTTTGTGCTTGTTATTACCTATTTATTATTGAAAGAAACTTTGTTTCTAGGTTAATTTTAGTAGAACTAAACTTAATTTGTATCTTTTGCCTCCATGATGTTTTCATCATGGTTACCATCTTATATTAATAATAGTCTTCATCAGTACCATTGTACCATTGATTATCTAGCACATCATAAATGTCTTACAATTACTACTCCTTTCAAATTCAAGGGAAATAAATGATTACCAAATTGATATATATATATATATATATATATATATA